CAAGGAATTTCGCCGTTATTCAAGAAACGTTGTTTTTGTGCGAGCAAACAGAGGCGGACGGTCACGCATTTTTCTTCGAAACATTAGGTTGGAGAAAAAGATTATTTCTACTGTTGTTTTAATTATCATTGTGCTCTTCATATCTCTATTGCCGTATCTAATCGTGACAAATTTACAAGAACGCTGCCATGAAGGGCTTAGCAGTGAATGCAGCGAGCCCGGGTTTTTGCTTACTAAAGCCCTCTCCGTACCGCTGTTATCTGTTAGCTGTGCATTGAACCCGTTTCTCTACGCTTGGAGAATACCACAGTACAGGCAAGTTTTACGTTTAATTGGGGGATGGTTTTGTCAGAGATTTCGCCTTAGGAGCCACGCTGTTAACACATTAGCGTTAAATATTCTAGCATCTGCCAGTTTAGTGGAACAAAGAATCCCAGCTGTTGGTCATCTTGAGAGAAGACGATCAGAAGAGATTGTAAACGGCGATTGTGACTTGGGAAATTAAAACTTTACGATCAGTAATTCAAAGGCGTGGCAACAGTCACTAACAATTTAATATTTTTTTTCTCTCTATTTTTTTAAACAGTGGTTACATTATTTTTCACCTCTAAGGTAGGATGAAAGCAAAATTGGCCAACGTGCCCCATGCTGAGAGTCAACTCAAAACATCTTTTAAATATTTACCATGACTGATTTTATTTTAAAGCTAGGCTGCGATCAACTGCGAACATTTTTTTCTGCAAATCAGAAAAAAGGGAATACAGCCCTTCATCGCACGTTATCTAACTTAGCGCCATGAATATCATCAGGTTAAAAAACTGAGTATTGAAGGTATAGTGACCAATCATGATCTATTGCTTTACTCACTGCAAGCCATCAAAATTTTTAGCTTTATTTAAAAGTCTTGTCTTCCCTGGCGACGCAAGCATTGCATGCGTTATTAAGGAGGACGGACTTGATATAAGCACTGATAAGTTTCAACACAAGAATATCAAAACATTGCGTTCTTCCTACTCTTATGCTTATATATATCACGGCCTTTCTCACCTCGCTCTGCATAAAGCCTCTTATGCTCATGCTTATATAGTCGAACACCCGTGTTACGGACACCCGCTTAATATGGAGTGACATCTCTTTATTACGGACCGTATTGCTTGTCCCTGGTGAAAGTAAGCCCTCATATTTTCTCTAAATTCAACCCGCTTTATACGGACACTTTCTTTGGCCCCCCTCAGGGAGCTCAAGCAACGATGACGGCGACGGCAACGAGAACGGCAAAAAAGCAATAGGTTTAGATTAGCAAAACAACAACTTTGCGCGTGCATCACGTTTTTTTTGTACATTTCTTAGCTGTCGTTGCACGACTACAACGTGAAAGTGCCTGAATTCACGTTTTGTCGAGGACGGGAACGCAAGGCAACAACTTTGTTTTTCTTTTTCTGAACTTTGATACAGCCTTTAGAATAATTAATTCAACTCCAAAAACATTTGCCAATATTTGACGAGGTAACCGAGATGTAGCAAGCGCGATAAAGTTTGAAGCAGCGCGAATTCACTTTTTAAGTGACGTTTTCGTAGCCGTCGCCGTCGTTGTTGCTTGAGCTCCCTATTAACGGGCTTAGTCTTTACTGTGCGCCAATGTTGCTCCAAAGTCGGACCTAATTCAATTTAGGTTCGGTACATGAGTGGAGCGGCGTCTGAACCGGGCGTAACTTATGTTTGGATTATGCTTCTGCTTAAGCTTGTGCTTTTGTCGATAGTAAGAAGCTGGGTTTAGACTTTGATAAAATTAAAGGGGCACTGTTTTCTGTAAAACATCTGTTCGCAGAAGCAAATATTGTCTAGAATTTTCTTCTGCTTCCGAACGGCTGGAAATTTCTAGATGAACGTTCCATTCATGTACAATTTTCGAAGCTTAATCTAATAAATTCCCCACGATTTTCTGCAGTTAAATTTTTCATATTTTACAGTACCCAGGTCACATTATCTTAGAAAGGGGAAACCTAAACTTTTCGGATTCTAAAATGTGATAGAGGAATCACGTAAAACGTTAAATTGCACGTAAAAAGTTCGGAAAAATAATACTGAAGTCCTTGTAATTTCGAAAAGGCTTACGTTTTCCTAGGACGACGAAACAGATAAAAATTTTGTAGCGCCGCTTAGAATGCATTTCTAGAGATCTGAATGTACTCTGGATGGCCTAAAAAGTGTTTTCAGTAAGTAAGTAAGTAAGTAATAACTTTATTTAACGAGGGTAAAGACATTGATTACTGGTCACCCAGTAGTTTTCATAATGGCCCTCCTAAGGGCCATTATGGCGTATTTTTGAGGAAACCGCCGTTTGGTGCCCCTGAAATTAGTATAAAGATATCGGGAGAATTAAAACCCGGGTCAGTCTGATAAGACTGAGATGTGTCGTTGAAGTCGTTTTATCTCCTAAACTAGGTAATCTTTAAGAAATTATGCTGTTGTTAGTACCGTGGGAAATTAGTTCAGCTCAAAGATGCTTCGTAAAAATCATGATGCATTTGTTTATTAGTGAATGGGCAAATTTTAAGTGACATGCGTTGAGTGAAAAACAGAATTGATTCTGAAAGGACTGGGCTGATCCAACATAAATGTACATCAGATGTCTCATATGACAATTGAACAGTAAGCTGCCAAATCTTAGAGCAAGTGGTTCTTGAGTTTAGGAACTTAGCTGTCGATCAGTGTCTGGAAACTTAATGCGTCCTTTATATACGAAAAAGAGGAATGCAAATAGCAATAAAGAGAATGCAAATAGTAGGGATTGAAGGGATCTATAAGGTCCCATTATTTCAAGCAATATTCACTCATCACGTAGACTGTAAATTAATAGATGGAAAAGAAATATAGTTGACTAGTCATAGTCTTATTAGGAGAAGGTAAAATTTGTTGCAGTATAACTGATTAATTTAGGTCCAGTGCAAAGGTCGGTCTTTCAATGTACCGAATGTACCGACGGTTGATTCAGACGTCAAACTTGAGTAGTCGGGCTCAATTCATTTTCACGATCTTCAATAGTCTAAAATGCTTACAAGTGAGAATAAATTTTAGTAATTTATGCATTAGTTGTTCGGCATATGAGAGGTTCGACGTTTTTTGCACTTTGAAACGAAGTCGCTCGACAGTCGCCGTGTTGGCCACTCGATTTTAGTTCATAGGTCGACCCAAATTAGACATGTGGCACTTTTGTATTGATTCAAACTTCGATCTCTTCATCTACTTCACTGAAGCGATTAGGTTCAGTACATGAAAAGATCAACTTTTGAACTGGGCCTTAGAGTCATAAATGACAGGGGGCCTTTAATTGTTCTTTAGGGGAAACAGCTAGGATTAAGATACGTCTGACGGAAACAAAACATTTTAAAATCATAGATACTTTTGGGTTTTGGCCATCTTAGCTTAAGGGGCCGACCATTTAACTCTTGACGGGGGTGATTTTTGGTCGGCAAGAATTTTTTCTTCTAGCAATCTGGTGGGCAGGATATTTTTTTCCCTTCTAAATGCTCTGCAGGATATTTTTTTTCCCTCCTCATTTCTCTGCAGGATTTTTTTTTCCTCAAAAAAGGGTCATGTGTTTACATATACAAAATGTATTTACACTTGCATTCTGGTCATTGTAGTAATAGTTCTAATATGGAGCTGCAAAGCCTTAAAATGTTGTAAGCTGTACAAAATCATTATTGTATAGCTATCTTTTCAGAAAGTCATTCTTTACACTCATTTTATTACGTCAAAATAAAGTGATGCACCACAGGCAGATGTGAAAGTGTTTAGTTTCTTAATTAAAAAAAAATAGCCAAAAATAGCAAAAAACTGTTTAGAAATGCTCATAGCATGGTAATTGCTGCTAGAATCATTAGTTGCAATTTAAAAGTAGACTGAAATATCCAAAACCAATATTGATGTACACACTCGCCTAAGGGTTCCTATGTAAAAAAGAAAGTACAGTCTCTCTTTATGTACACTAAGAAGAACGTCGCTCGATCCGATCCTACGATGTGCCATTTGACCCTGAAAACAATGAACTCTTTGCAAGTTTTCTCCTTTTAACCAGCTTTTTCCAGTTACTATAAACCGGAGGCTGCGAACACAGACGCATTTCCGGTCGTCGCTTCTCTCCCTCCACTCTACTTTTCGGGTGGAGAGAAGCGACGACCGGAAATACGTCTACGTTCGTAGGCTACGTAAACCGCCGCTTAGAAGCCCTGAGACCTGTTTCTCGAATGTCCCGGTAACTATACGGTCCCGAAATCAAATATTCAAATCGAAATATAAAGAATAAGAGCGCGGGTCCTGGCTAGCAAACTACTCCATTTTGTTTCATTAACCGACAGTTTTATCATGTTAGATGCAAAACTACTGAAACCTCGATCCTCTTTGTATATGGAGACAGCTTACCGAGCCCGCTAATTATCGGGACTTTCGAGAAACGGGCCCCTGGACCTAGACAACTTCGTAAGGGATTTCAGGAGGACCTATAAAAGAAGCTTCTTATATCCGAAGGGGCTCATAACCGTAATAGAAAAAGCGCTTCAAAGTGCTGATCAAAATTAGTTTAGCCCTCACTGGTTTTTTAATAATTAAGCTTTAAAACTGACTTCATGATAATATATCTGGGGGCTTAAAAATCATTTTTCTTTTGTTTACCGGTCATTAGGCCATAATTGGGGGGCCATGCCGGGGGTTGGGGGGTGGGTTGAACCTTATACAAGTTGAAGCTTAGAAGCGGCAGTTTACGGTATGCGAACAAACATTTCGCTCATTATCGTTTGGTTTCATTTCCTGTATTATCAAAAGACGCTTTTCTTTGTTGGGGTCACTGAAGATAAGAAAAACTCTTTTACAGTAAGAAGGGGTGTGCGTTCGAAATGGATCAACGTACTAACTTTCAAAGACAACTTGCATGTTACGAAATGATACATACAGCTATGTGATTGTTGTTCACAAACAAACGAGAATGGAAGTTTTTTTTTAAATATCAGTTTTTAATCATATTTAAGTTATTACATGAAAAGTTCAGTGTAAAGATTAAAGAAATCTTACTTAGAGATTAAAACAAATCAGAATAAATTGTCCTTAGGTGACACGAAAGGCTAAACTATTCCACTATAAACTATTATTTCTAAATTACTCTTTTTTTACTAAGAGAAAGGCGAGTGGTCGAATTAACTCGCCAAGTCAACTTGACACTAATGGCACTTGGCACAATTTTTTGCTGTCTACAAACAACGATAAAACTTTAAGAAGTCACCTTTCAATCATGTTTACGTTATTACACGTACAATTTGTAATGATAAAAGAAAGCTTATTTAGGGATAGAAAAAAAATTAGAAAACATCATCCTTAACTTAACTGTATTTCACTATAAACAACTATTCTTATGGTAATCGTAGTTTCTGCTCTATTTTTACTACTTTTTATTTTTATTTGTCGCTTTGCATGCTCCTATACATCCTTTGCTTTGTTAAAAAGTATAACAAGTGAGAACAGCTAGCTCTTTTATAATCTTGTTAACCATATTTATCGACCTTTACCATTTTACCAGACACTGAATTAATTTATATTAACCATGTTTACTATTGAGAGCATAAAAGGTCCCTATCAAGGTACATCCAATTTAGAACTTATTTCAAAATGTTGTCGTGATTTCATAAAATCACTGCAACCTGCATTTATTTCTATTCTAAAATTAAAAAAAAAATGGCCTTAAAGGGATATTGAAACGATGAAACATTCTCTCAGAAATCATACTATAAGTCGCCTAAATGTTACATTCTTTTGAGCAGCCCTTCAAGGAACGAAAGGCAAAGAAAGACAGGGAAAAAAACTTAAGACTATTTCCATGTATCCTGGACGTCTCGGAACACAGGGTCGCGAGTCGTTGTTGGTTCCTGATTCTTGTACAGGATAAGCTAATGTTTCGGATTGTTCCCCAAGCTGTATCAAAGGTGCGTAGGATGATGAAGTCATATCGTGCTTCTAAAACGAAAAAAAAGAAGAAAGTCAATCTCCTGTTAACAAAGAAATTACTATACAGCACTAATATTCAATTGTCACAAAAATCGTTACTAAATAACTACATGAATAAACTAATAACAACATCATAACCTTGTTTAAAAAAGCTCCTCTTGTCCAAATAATTACAGAAAATGAAGTTGCTATAGTCCCTTACGTTATTAATACACGAATTATCCCGTTTATATATCAGATTCAAATATGTTCTCAAGTTGTGTACCATGTAAGACTAGTCAGAATTGATTGCCTTAAAAAGAAACCAACATGAGCAAATTTACAATTCTAACATGGTCACAGTTTCACTGCGTTTTTCTTTTAATCGAATAATTCATTCATTTGATCTCTCAAAGACGCCCTCAAACTACTCTTGTCGTCCCGGCATCATAACCTTGTGAATCAGTTAACTTTTTAGTTGCAAAAGGTGTGCGCATATTTTTACAAACACCAAACTATGTAACTAACTACTTCTATATATTTAATCACGCCTAAAATATAGTCTATCGCTAAGTATGATGATAGCTAAACTCTACCTTCCTATTCTCCAATGATGTAATATTGGCAGACAAAAGTCAAATGCTTCGGCTTGTTCTCTGAAACGGGAACAAGCCGAAACATTTGACCCGCATCGCCAGCCTTCTTAGGCCCTTCAGCGTTAAGTAACTTAAGTAACCATACTTCACTTTGAAATGACATTTATAATTTTCCACTGAGTGTTAAAAAGGCAACACTAAAGAGGGGCTTAGCTAGGATTTTCCAGAGGTACGCGAAATTTTTCAAATCCCTGCCTTCCGCTCCCTTAAAAACCCAATTCCCAAGTCAAGGTGAAAACTAAGCGTTCCTGATTTTTAGCTCCATTGTAATTGCCATTGTCCTGCCTTTTCTCTAAATACATCATTTTATAAAGCACTTCCCTTAGCTGAAAAGCGACATTCGGGTGTGTAAAAAAAGTATATTTTAAAGAAACAAGCAATAATACATTGTTTTTCATTTAGATGCTTTTTATTATTATCGATTTTTATATTATTTTCATTTTTTTACCCTCGACGTTTTCAGGTAAGCACATGCGTAAGTACCGGTAGCTACGCCCCTGCTGCAAACTATTTCTTACTACTATGACTTATCAGTCTTATCACTATCACTTACTATGACTTATCATCTTTGCGCATACAATATAATTACCGCGTTGTTTTAAGAAACACTCTGGGACCTAGTTAACAAACTAACTAACACGCGAAGCAATTAATGAGTTTTCAAAATGTTAGTTATCCATAATATCTGTGGTATAGTAACTGTTTATTCATATTACAACTTATTCATAAACACAGTAACAATTATTTGATGCTGTTGTTAACTGTAAGGCCCAAGTGGCTAGACTAGTGGAGAAATACAATACCTCTTCTGGTTGGCGGCAGATGTACGGTGGAGGAGGCCGTCCACCAGAGTCTTCCACGTAAAATCCTTTACTCATCATGTCTAGAAATGTAAATCGAATCACAGTGTACAATATCAGTGAATGGGCCTCATATGTTCAACAAATATTGGTTGAGGCTTCTGTAATATCTGGCGGGAATAACCTGGCCTAGCCTGCAGGTGCAACTGGACTTGCGCAGAACTATTAGTTGGTTTGAGGTATCAGAAGTGTTACAGCCACCGATTCTACGCTTTAGATTGTAGTGTTTTTTAAAAAATATAACGCACTGTCGCATTTCCAGGAAAGAAAAAGATAGAAAGAATAGAAATTGCTCTTCGAAGTCACTCAACTTGCTGCGCGTGAAACCTTGTCTGCCAGCTCTGCCAGTAGCAAGAAAGCAGTGGCCACCACTGTTCTCGAACTGTATAATTCTTCTTAAATAAATATTTGGCCACTCTTTTCTTTGCACTGCTTTGTTCGGCGCTAAACAAGGCATGTAAGCCACCTTGACCCTTCCCATGGTACTTTGCATTAACCTGAAAGCTTCCCATGTTTCTCTAGGTGCCTGGGTATTCGCCTGCGCTATTCGCGTGCAGCTGGTAGTGAAACCTGACCCAAGTAAGTGGTTGCCCTAAAAATATCCACAAATCAACGCGGCCTCACACCAGTTTATTGCCCCCGCAGGGTTCCGGCCCAGAGGCCGGAACCCGAGGAGGCGCCCTAATGTCCCCCGCGTAATGCTAAAGTATCGTATCGTCGTACTGTTAGTATGCGAAAATTCCTCGATTTGATGAAACTAGGCGCGCACTGTGGTCCCGGTTAATTTTCAGCATGTGCGTCTGGGTTTGGCGACGAGTCGCATTCGCCGAATTGTGTCAGGATTTCATTCCAAGCTATAAGGTGAGTACATCTTGTAGCACATCAATTTTCCGATTTCTTTTAAATGAAAAAGCTATTCAGCAGTACTGGAATTGTTTGGTATTAAAGAACTTGATTTGTCAGACACAAATCCGCAACGTGGATCGACAGAACTTGAACTTGATTTGTCTGAAACAAATCAGCAACGTGGATCGACAGACTCGATTCAAACCACGTCAGGAATAGCTCAAATTTTTCAAAACCCAGTCAAAAACAATAACGGTGCTAACGTGAAATAACCGGGTTTTGTTCTATAATCAGGTATTCAGGATTTAATAAACAGTGGTCCATGTGTTTGTAGGGTTAGTTTTATATTGCGAAATCCCGATTATTTTATTTGATACAAGGATCACAAAAAGTGAACTGGGAAATATCTCAAAGGTGAGAAACTTGAAACAGTGCGAAATTATTTATATCAGGTGCGTTCAAGAATGTCACACTCGAAGCCAAAGCAGTCGTTCGACACATTAGTGATAGGACATTTATATTGTTAGTTACAAATATATAATTAAAGATGGTTTTGTTGTTTAACAGGCGTATAAAAAACAATTGTTCATCCTAAGCATGACATGTATGAGTATTTTCATTAACCCAGGAAACAAAGTGTAATAATTGAGAATTTCACTCAGAAACTCTAATACGAAATCTGCATTTCAAAGGTTCATGACAAATACATGGACAACCACATGGAGTCAAAAGGTCGGGGGCAGATTTAGTGACAACTATGACTAGTTTTAGCTTTACATTATTTGTCTTGACTATTAAGTGTAATTCTGTCAAAACGCTGGCTCCCTATTCTTTATTTCGAAAAAAAAAAACCGATACCTTTTAAATTAAATTAACTGATGCTATCAATATCCTAAAACGATCATTCCCATATTGTTTCAATGTAGGCCATACGAGTAACGTACCTTTTTCGATTATTGAAATTGCCTTTCTGTTACCAATTTCTAATAGACCTCTTAGCAAGACTTTTAGTGGAATTTCTCTGGATACGATGTCTTCAATTAAAGCCATTGCTGGGCGGAAACCAGTCATTCGTATGTTGTTAATATTATTTTCTGAATAAATTGAAGCAAATGTGTCACTTCTCATAAGTTCCTCCCAGTTCAAGGTACGTTTCTCCAAGGCGTGGGAAAGTTCCTCGTTTGTTTGTATAGATAAGTCCTTGACTTCCATTTGCTGTTGATATAAAATAAAGAGAACCATCCAATGGTAACAAAAAGTTAAAGATATGAGTTGTGTCACGAGATACCGCCACCAAATTGAGTTAAAAAAAGAAAGATTGAAAAGAATTTCACTTGTGGTTTTTTAAACTTGTTGGCCTAAAAGTTTTTCTAAAACTTTGCTTAAAAACATTTCAATAATTTTTCTAAAAAAAGTGAAAAACATGACGTTTCGAAGTTCTCAGACGTCATTATCAAGTCAAAAGCAAAACGCGTCTGACTGAGGCCCTGCCAGGGTAAATTCTGACAAGCGACATGGCCCAAAAAGTAGCGACAGCGCGTAAAATGAAATCGCGACAAGAGGCAACCTCCCTCGGCCAAATGGCGACACTGACACTGACACTGACACCGACAATAAGCGACAAGCATTTATAAACACCGACACGAGACGTTTTAAAATTCAGACGGGCGACATTGGCCCGCCCCCACCTCGGCAGGGCCTCTTGACTGCCCGGGAAGGTCGAAACGTTAGCGTGTTTTAATAGCCTGAATTTCATCCGATTACTTCGAGTCGTTATTACTCCCTCAGTTTTTCATAATTATACATAATTATGCGAAGGTTTAGACAATCAACCAATCAAAATCAGTACCAATCAATCAAAACCGGTTTTCGGGTAGTTAGTGACGTCACTGGACGGCATTAACGGCCGGTTGATTCAGACATTGTTGAGAGGAGAAAACGACTCGAAGCAATCGGATGAATTTCAGGCTAGTGTTTTAAACTTTCCACAAAAATTTTGAAAATGTTTTTAAGCAAAGGTGTTGTCGCAGTTACAACCAAACAAAAAAAAAGCAGGGAAAAAACCCAAGGGAAAGTACCTTTCACTCTGTGCTGTTTGCATATATAAAATTAAGAGCCATAATGGCTCTTGATGAAATTGCATGAAGGGAATTTCCCGCGGAAATGTAGCAGGCTGCCAAAACCGTTTCTCCTAGCTCTTCGCCGAAACGGATGTTTTCGCAGGCTAGCGGAAATGTTTCCGTTTAGTAAGAAGAACAAGTCAAGGAATTTGTTGTTGTTAAAGGAGCTGCGTCACGAAATTTAACAAGATTCAAACAGTGAAAACAGCCACCAACGCAAACATGAGAAAAAATGCTCAATACATAAAAGACGGTAAAAATAATTCAGCAAATACAAAAGGAGGCGAGGATGGACAAACTTGAGGGATCTTGAAGAAGATTGAAACGGATTGTACAATGGATCCAGCCACCAACTTGGTCTTTCGATTACACACTATGGCTACTGATTGCACCTGAAAAAAATCATCTTTTAGCGGCATCAGAAGCCGAGCATATAATGCTTCTGGCCCCGGCATGATAGTTTGATGGTGAATTTTTTTTTTCCCGATATACGTGAACGTTCAATTGTTAAACGGCCCTTTTCAGCATCTAGACTGCGAGCAGTCTCTTATTTTTCTTTTAGATTCGCTCACCGCGCTTGCGGGTCTGATGAGGGAAGGTATATTTTTGGCATCCAAAACGAAAGTGAAACAGATATTGACGCGATAACTAATGAAAGCTTCGACCAATTTAGTCTTACATTTGTTTTACCTCGCTTTCCAAATATTTCAACAACAACAACAACAAAATAATAATAATAAAATAAAACGGACCGATACCTGAACAATTATCTGGTATGTTGTTAAAAATGACACAAATGAAAAATATGAGATGAAATGACATATAACAGTGATTGTCGTACGTTTTTGCATATTATTTCATAAACTTGAGGGAATTTCCCGGTTAACCCCTCTTTGTTTTTTAAGGAAGTTAAATTTAGTATCAAATTGTATGAATCATGAATGTTTTGAGCATGCCGCGTCAAGAATATAAATAAACTGTTTCAGAATGAGCTAGAATGCTGTATTGATTTCATTAGGCATCTAAAACATAAGCTTACCTGGCAAAAAGAAGAACAACGTTCTTTGGGAGTTTTACTAGCGGTCAAAAAGTTCTATAATCTGATAAACGAGTATATTTATGCGCCAAACTAGCTTGCCACTATCTATTTCTCGCTACAGTCATCAACAAACGCAAACACTTTTAACGACGTTTTGATATTCCCAGCAGAAAAAATGTCAAATGTTTAAAAGCGATCGGTAAACTACGTAAGAGTTAAAACATAACAACATGATCAGTAATGCTGTGAAAGATGAAGTCAAAGTAAAATAATTTCGCTGAAACTGTTGCTGATACTATTATATCACTCTAAACAAGTTGTAATATTTAATTTCAGCTATTAAAGGCAAAACTAACCTCCTGATATTTTTTGCTTGTCATGCAGTTTCGTACTTCGATTAAACCTCGTCGGCAAATATAACATAAAATGTGAGTCGAATCTAGCGCTCCTAACTGATTTAGTATTCCGAAAGTGTACCTTTCGATTCCTCCTTAGGATCGAATCGCAACTGAAACTAACAATCAGACAAACTGAATCGCACATACCTTTTACTCGCTCAAACAGTTGTTTTCCCGTCGAAGACCAAGGTCTTGTGGTGAGTTTTATTGCGTTGACGTGATTAAAGTTCATTCAACCTCAAGAAAGGGGTTTTCCCCAACTGTGACGTCTGTTGTTTGTACACACAGAGGCCACGTGCATGGTACATGCAGTGAGGGGCATTAACCGCAGCTGGCCAAAGCGCGTTATGTAAATTTAACTATCAAAAACCGCGCAGTGTAAAACAAGTCCATAAAAATACATACTATAATAGAAATACGTGTATCGCAGAAACTCGCGAAGCTCGGGCAGGGGGGGAGGTCCATAAAATGTCAGGGATGGAAGGGGGTAGAGAATTGGAGTAAATTGTGTAGCTTGGGAGGGCGGGTTTCAACACTGGCTCTAATACTGGAATGTGAGATGTACTTAATCTCCTTTTGGTTGGAGTAAATCTGAACCCAGTGGTCTGTCGTTAAAAAAGGATTTTCTGGGACTTTAAGTGGGGCTGGCGTTGTTAAGGAAGGGTAGGCAATGTTTCATAGGTCCCGTGTTTACCCCATCTGACCCTCCTACATCTGTAATTATAGTCAAAAGAAAATGGGTGTGATAGTGAATAACTGCACAAAAGAGAGAATATGCAGCTAACTCATGCCATCTTTAATAATAATTGTAATAATAATTACTTGTGAAGTGTGTCATTAGTAGTGAAGTGTGTCATCAGTAGCGCAGTGAAAAAAACAAGTAAATGCTGGTAATTGACGAAAAATATCTATTGTTTAAGTGAACTACAGCAATGAGAGTGTTGGCACTTGTTGTAGTACATAATCCAGATATGGCAACCTCTGGAAATCTAAAATCTGGAGACTCTTTTTTTCGTCTTCCCCCTCCGCAAATATCAATGATCAACCCCCCCTCCCCTCATAAGCACAATTCGATTCAGTCCCTAATCGGCTTAGGACATTATATTAAGTCTTACATGAGGTACAGAACCATCACAATTAGCGTTTATGATTGTAATGGGGAAATAATCTTTGTCACTGATGAAATACATGCGAAAATGCCCCAGAAACTGAACTTTGGCTGAAAGAAAATTCGAATTTTGGGAGAAAATGGGATAAATTCTAACTTAAAGCACAGAAAAGCTCATAACTCGATTTCATCCGGGAGATTTGCTGACCCATACAGGAGGAGATTGTTTTCGTATCGGAGAGACTAGTTGCCATGTATGATAATCACACTTGACAATTAACTGTTTTTTAAAACAGTAAGGTGCAAAAGTAACCACTTACACTGAAATAGAAATTACATGTAGCAATGTCATTAAGGATGCAGTTGAGGAGAATTGTGTTTATGATGATTATTGAATATGCAGTACCCTCATTAGCACTGAATTCTCCCTTTAAAGAGTACCAAATCATTTGTGAAATTGTTCACAGAACTTTATTTGTGTACATGGATGAGAAACAAATACCCATGCAAGAGGGAATTTTTATGAAATGTCCACATACAAGTCATGTTGAAGTTGATCAGTTTCTCAATTCTCAACATGCATGACCTTGTTGAGTCATGGTTGCCAGAGGAATAGTTTTTGAAATTCCCAGACTGACAGTCAAATGTACCCTTTCCCTGACCAAATGAATTGGCAATTTGTCCAGGTATTAATGGATTCCAAAATTCCACTCAAAACTTCGTGTACTGGACACAGATGACGTAAAGCAAAGGACTTCTTTGTTTTCTGTTCAGAGAAAATCTTCTTGGTATTGTTTCAAGGCTGTTGTTCTTTCGTTTTACCTCATCTGTGTCCGGTACACAAAATAAATGCCCCAACTCCCACCACAACCATCCTCGCCACCCATTTACATTATTACATAAATTTATGGTGACACACTTAGTTTTTTTGTTTGCTGTGTGAAGTTTTTCTTTTATTTACAGTTTTTTTTTCTGTGTAGCTGTGGTCGTGTCTACCTGACCCTTCACAAAATAATTTATTAATAACTTAAATAAGGCTGCCCAATCTCTTTAGCCCTCAATGGTTATTATGGGCAGCCTGTACTCTCTCTATTTTTAATTCTATTTTATATATATAATTCAATGTGGAGTACAAATAGAGTTGTTGTTGTTGTTGTGGTTGTGAATGTATTAAGCACAGAATGGATTGATCTTATAGGAAACGCTATATCAGTCTGCTTGTCGTTTAATTTCTGGAAATAATATCCTTTTGATGGAATATGTTTAACTTCGGTGAATATGCAGAAACATGTCACCTCCCTCTGACTTCTTTGAAAGAGTCCAATTTTCCCTGACTTATATTTAAATTCCCTGACTTGATAAATTGTCCCTTACGGGTAAAATAATGAATTTTCCTGGCATTGTAACAGATGTCACACAATAATATTGTGAGGAAATCCGAAATGGGTTATTCCAGAAAAAATCCACACCCCCACGACGGAAGGCATGCTGGAAAATCTCACGGGAGGGGGGATTAACGGCTCTGGAAATCCAGACGGGAGGGGAGCTCTGAACCTAAAAATACATCCTTGAGGGTAACTTTCAATTTCATCGATGTTTCAATCGCTTTAATTGATAAGTTTTCAAAAAATTGCTTTGCCCTTTCAAATTTTATTATTCTTTCAAACTACAGACCTCTTACCACATTTATTTTAAGTTTCCATCCGTAGGCTCACCCTCGTTACTTTTGTAGAAGCAACGTGCGATAACTTGAAGATAACAGGGACCGCGGAGGGGGAGGGGCTGGTACCACTTTTTGTAGGGATCTATTTTCTAGGGCTCCAATTGACATGGGAAAAGTTCTCGTAGAATTATTGGACTTTTCCGACCCTAAAAGGTGGACGGTTAGAGCCAGTTGTTTTGGACGAATTCTTGAGAACTAGGCAGTTCTTATGGAAGAGTGGGATGTTTGCTTGTCCGAACGATTAGAACCCGATGTGCGTGAAAGGATAATAGGATGTAAGACCTAAATGGAACGATTTGACTTTTTCTTTGGTTTGAATCTTGGAGGGCGGCTCCACTCCCACAGACCCATAATCTATCTAAGGATCTTCAGGGTACTAAGGTGGCTGCTGTCAGTGGACAAGGCCTGGCATTGGCAAATCTAACAAAGGAGACGCTCACAAAAATGCCCAGTGGTCAGAGCTTCGACCATTTCTATGCTACTATTTCCCGCAAGAGAGAAGGCCTGCTTGGTAAACCAACGCTTCCAAGAATCGATGCACTTCGGCCAGACTGGAGGTTGGTGCTGGTGCACCAAGCTAACCCCAAACTGCCAAAGATCACATTAGAAGGGTCTATTGTGAGGATATTGATCTTATCGTCAGTGCTATCTATCAGGAAGGCTTCAGTTCCTACGCCCAGATGGAGACCTTCTTAGTTAAAGCTGCTAATGGTGACGACTATGAGGCAGAGTTCATGTTTCTTGAAGCATCATACAGAGAAGATGTTGATACAAGGGCGCTACCTGGGCATGCAACTAAGTATTTTGGAAGTTATGTTATAGGAGAAGATAGCATGTTTTGACGAAATCCTGTTGGCGCTGTCAAAGTTTCCAAAACCAGAAGAGAAGCTAATTCAGGAAGCCCAAACTATCTGTAAGCTGGCTGCTGTAAATCCTGCAACCAGCGCTGCTGGCAAGCGTTCATTCTCATCTGCACGGCGTCTGAAGACGTGGCTTCTATCCAGGATGGGTGACCTAGCAGTGTTGAATGGTCACAAGCGGAGAACAGACAGTGTCTCTATAGCTACACAGGAGTTTGTTTCCTGCAATAAGAATCGCAAGAGAAGCTTCGGCACTTCGGGTAGCAACCTCAGGAGGTTTATTTAATTAACATATTGGCTATGTTTGGATAGTATAACACGTGTGGACGTTTTTGTTATATTTGTTGAGGTGGTAAATAAGATGGCGCGCAAATGCAAGATAAATGGCGAAACACCGACCTGAATGTTTCTTTATATTGGCCGGAGGTTTTAGCCCTACCACCTTAAAATGGTCTCCGCGGTCCCTGAGATATCAAGAAAAATCCCATAATTCATAAAAAAGCGCTCAATTCAAGGAAAGCAAACAATGATTTTACCTTGAATTAAACATTTTTCCAAGGTCAATGCTATTTCAGGGTGATTTACCACTAAACATGCCTTACAAGTAAGCGTCGTAGTTGTTCATGATCGTTCGGCGGCCATTTTGAAAGGCAAGTGTTGTGGCAAGCGTATAGCGCGTCATGTAATATCCCACTAAGTGTCCTTTTTCTTTCTTTCGCAGTCATTTTTTATCGACAAAGAAGAGAACCATTTATTCGAGAACATAGTTAGCTACAGTGTCTAACAATTTTATGGAAATCCAGATGGGTGGGGGGTCTTTGAACTTGGAAATCCTAAGGGGGCGGGGCTCAAGCAGTTTTGGAAATCCAGATTGGGGGGGGTCAAAAAACCGTGCCTTCCGTCATGGGGGTGTGGATTTTTTCTGGAATAACCCAATACAGATGTTCTTTTCGAATATTTTAAGATCTCAAATAGGAGCCCAGCAATAATAAATGTTTGTCATCTTTGACTTAAAAGACACAGCTGTGTTTATGTATATGCTATACACAGATATATATTTTTACGTGGGATGGTTTTGGAGAAGTAAATGTAATAAAAATTGTAAACGAAATTTTGTTCAGTAAGGTCATTGTTTACAAATGTAAACGCTTCCCTACATGTCACACATTATCGGTGTTATAAACTGTTCATTGTAAAATAAAGCTTACTGTAAAACCCATTGTTGCTCACGGTGTAAAGGCTGATAGGCTGTCCTCAGTCCGTTGGAAAGATATTCTTGATCGACGACTGCATTGTACAGACCGTGTAACTATTGCTGCCTATCGTTGCATCGAAGAAGATAATTTTACTGTAAACTGTAAGCGTTGCCTGATCTCCCCATCGCTTTTTGAAGCGTCGGCAGTCGGTGTTCTCTCTCTTGATCGGCTCCATTTGCAGTGTAATTGTAGTATTTTGTCGCTGCCTCTGTACATGTTTCTGGTCACTGTGTTGGCGACGTTGCCTTCGCTGTGCTAAGCGATATTCTCTGTGCTTTGCGCGCGGCTTCTTGTTAATTGTCGCGGCAGCACTAAAACATGGAATCCGGAATCCGGAAACGGAAACGGAAACAGAAACAGAAAGAAGAAACGGAAACGGAATACGGAATCAAATGTCAATGACAGAAAATTAAAGAATTTCACATTACACAATTTAGTACAATCCAAGGAGAAATTGTTTTAGCTTTCTTGGCAGTTCCCTTAAATATATTCTTGTTATTGTGTCTTGATAGGTTTGCCGTGGTGTGGGTAACTGCACTGCAAGGCCGATGAAAGTAATTTTACCGGTAATTTTTATCCACGAATTCATGGGTTGAATAATACAGTTAAATATGACTTTTGTAGCTAACTGTCAAGAATAGTAGTAGTTAGCCTCAGACCACTGCACGTGATTGTCCCCAAACTGAATACTCCACACATGACCGACCGGTGACGTGACCATAGTTCCGCTGTTTTAACAATTAATATCAACTTTTTCGCCAAGCTGAATACTGATAGAATACTGGTGTACCGGTAATTGAGTTCACGTGGACGTCCGTATTTTTGTTGAAGAGGCTTATTAAACATGCGCATTATTTTGATGTAATCGGTTGCGGAATCAAACAAATGCATGAACAATTCTCTCTTCTCTTTGGACTCCACAATGCCATGGTTCTCTTGAGTAAGTTGTCTTGATAAATAAAACTGAACACTGTTGAAGACAACCCAAAAAAGACACTAAGAAAAACTTGACGGCGACGCCTTTCAGTTATTATGTAAACGGCGCCTCTGACGATTCAAACGAAGTCTGTCTCCATATAACTTACCTTTTTCTTAAGGCACTAGTTTTTGTCAGTAACGTTTTTCTCCTCGCTTTGCTGTCCCATGAGAATTTGCATTCATTGCCGATAGTGGTATCAAGCGTCTGTTCACCGGAATCGACTCCTCTAGTGATACAGCAGTCTCCCCGACTCAGCTAATCTATTCATTTATGTTTTTTTTTATCTGTTTATTTATTTTATTGTCATTGCTAATATTTTTTTCAAATCGATCGCTTGGGACCTTCTTTCACAGATTCCGTATTCCGTTTCCGTGATTCCGTTTCCGGATTCCGGATTCCGGATTCCTTGTTTTAGTGCCGCCGGTCGAATTGTGTGTCAACAACATAAGAGATGTCTATCAGTGGACTATTAAAATTTTTGAAAATGTTTGCGCGAGTATTATGCTTTGAGCAAGTGAAGGCCTGGACAAACATTTGGGAGAAACTGTCTACAAGTAAGATAAAGGGGTAACATCACTAAAGCCTAGTGGCGTGAGATATTATTAATCGTCTCTGTAGTAATGGAAGCAGCAAACCTGAGCCATGTCTAGTCACCGCAAACGCTGTTGCTTGCGGGAAGAAGAAGAGCCGAGAATTCAAGCCCAATACCCGTAATGAAGTTAACAGAGAGATAAAAAGAGACCATCTCCCATCAACCTGCCACAAGTGTTTTTTTAGGATCAGTCACCCCCTGGAACCCGGGGGCACTTGGGTATTTTTTGGGTGGGTTTGTGCCGCCCGGGACTCCAAATTGGCACCCCGTTCTCGAAAAAATTTCCCCTAAAATTGATACCCCGTTCTAGAAATGGGCAAATTTTTTATACCCCGTTCTAGAAGTCGCCCTAAAACTGATACCCCGTTCTAGAAATAGGCCAATTTTTTATACTCCGTTCTAGTGTGCAACAAGAGTATAACGGTTTCTTTGTTAATGCATTGAACCGTATTTTTAAATGCAATCTGTCCGTGAATACTTTCAAATGGCTGCTTACAAAAGTGGAGCTTTCGTGCGTTCGAAGTATATATTATGCCCCGTTCTAGAAAACGCCTGTATCCTGTGGATACCCCGTTCTAAATCAGGAGCTTCAAAATCACGACCCCTTTGGGCGGCACATACCCGTATAGGTAATGTATGGGAGTACCCCCCCTCCGGGCCCTGGAACAGCTAATGGACGCCCTCCTATGCCTGGCAATTTGATCTGATCCACTCCGAGTTATATTATCTACGTTATTTTAAACCACGCACTCTCTGACGGCGGTTTTCTGCCTTGACACCCTCTCCATAACGTAACATTTGAATTCCTAGTTTGAAATGGCGAGAATACTAGTCGAGTATAATACAGATATTACAGACTGCCTGTACCAGACCATACAGGGGCATCCAACGTCAATTTCCGGAAAATGTCTGTTCGGAAGACGATTTGAGATCTAGAATTTTCCCAACGTTTGTTGTAAAATTTCTTTCTTGCCTGCCTCTCCTAGGTTTTTCAAAAATCTAAAAAATGGTATAATTGCCCTTTTTTAACGGATTTTTACCCTAAAAAGGTCACTAGAAATTTTCGGGAGCCTTTTTTCTGGCCGCCTGAAATTTTCCAAAAGGTAAGTTTTGATCCTTATAATTTTCGGATCACTAGATTTTCAACTAGGAAATCCGAACAGATGAAAAATTTTTTAAGGGATAAAAATATGCCTATATAGTACCGTTTAAATACTAACATACGTTTAACAATGCTATGTTTAAGTGATTTTTAACTACATTCTCACTTTTCTCGTTGGGTGCCCCTGCAGGGACCGCGGAGCAAGGTGAAAAGTGGGAGGGCTGACAATTGAAAATATTTTTTTCATATTGAAAATCGAAAAAACGAATAAAATAATAGTATTTGATTTGTTTCTGTCGCGTGACTTTGCATACTTTACCCAGTATTTGTTGCTCTTTATAGGTCGGCATTAGTCCCAGATAACTCTAATAGACGACCAATATACACGGTCAGTTCAGATTCAATGCAAGAAAAGACGCGATTACAATTTTAGTATAGAAAATACTACACTGAAGTGATCTGTAAAATTTCTAACTATGGCCGTTCACTGTTCAAGAAATGTAATTCTTCTTGCCATCGAATATTTCATTGATTCGAAAGGAGAAAGACAAAATAAAGAACTTTTATCAACTCAAAACAACTACTCACCTTCGTTTGGCTTTAAAAAGCTAGTAATTTTCTTCATTTCGCCTGATAAAACTGATAAAAAACTCTCAGGCCGGAGCTGGAGGTACAAAACACGCTGCCGAACGAAGCGAAGGGGTGGCCAAGGCATGGCGTTTGATCAAGGGGCAAGTCGGCCCCAGGGCACAATTACCGCGAAAAGCACAGGAGCCCCACAAAATGCCTGGCGTTTGAAATTAAAGAAAATACAGAGAATATAGCGGAATATAGACGGAAAAAAACTTGTTTCAAGTCTTTTTTTAATTTTAATTATTTTTCTTTTTAGCGCAAAAAGTGGGGGCGAGGGCGCAAAAAAGTGGTGGGGCCGCGGCCCTGCCAGCCCCTTCCCCTCCGCGGTCCCTGCCCTGACCATAGTTGAGAAAGGGACCGGTGTCCGCCGAGTGTCCACTCAAACGTACCATAATATTGTGACATTGGAGGTTATGGAATTGATACAAACCAGTATGACCACTGAAGTTGTAAATATAGTGGTTTCCATCAGTACTAATTTCTATGATTAGCTTAACCCTTTAAGCCGTGAGAGTGATAAGCATCAAATTTCTCCTTGTAATATCAGTGCTTTGTAAAACACAGGTCATGAGAATTACGGACATGATCACGCAAGATCAATTTGCTCGATTTTTTATCAACTTCTCCCCACTACTTCTGTAGGAAATGAATAGGGGCAACAAATGAGAATTCAAATGTTGATCTTAGGGTTTAAAGGGTTAATGTTCGACGCAGAAAGACTTTTGAAAAGTGTCCAATTTCTGACAACCTGTGAGAGTTTCCGGTGTAAAAGTCGTTAGCAACATCAGCATAAGATAGTTCATCCTTTTTTGCATCAGAGTAGACCTGAGATAATTCTTGATTTTTCTGAAGGCACTGAAAGACCTTTCACTCAGTCAAAGTGTTTGTGGCAGGCATAGCTAATATCAATTGTAGAGCTGTTGCAGTCTCACTGAATAAATCAGGTCCATTTGCATTAAGAAGATCTATTATGGATAACACAGAGCTATGGAACGTTCTTGAGCATGCATTTTCAAAATAGTAAAATGTGTTTCAACAAGTTCCTAGTTTGTATCTGATCATAAAAGCTGCAGGTTGATAAATGGCTCACTTGAGAAATCGTCTCCTGAAACTGTCTTGAGAAGCTAGTTTTCAAGATTCGTATGGATTTTATAACCTGGTTGAATAATCTAGACTGGATCCCGTTCACTATCAAGTCCAAGGCTTCGAAATATATCATCTGTAGTAGTATTGTTCAGTTCTGGGAAAATGTGCGTCAGATTGTCCTCAATCAACAATGTGCTTCTCTAGTATTATCTTCATTTTACGACAATTTACAATCGACATTTTACAATCGAAAAGAAAGCTCTCCTTGTGACACATCGAACTGTTCCTCTGTAATATATCAAGCACGAGACGCCGTGTTTCATCACCAGATGAAACACTGAGAAGAGAGTTGAAAATACGACGCGCAGCGGAGTATTTTTTGCGAACTTCGAGGTGTTTCATCTGGTGATGAAACACTGTGTCGAACGCTTGATATTACTTCTCAAGCAAAATGATTTTAATTAGAGGGAGAAATTAAGGATTCAAAAATGAGTAGTTTTTCATCTGATTTCCAAATACTCTCGTTTATATTTTCTTTAATGAGTTTGAGAACTACTATTCCTATATAGCTATTTCACCTTTTTGATCTATTTTTTAATCTGTCTTCTAGAGCGATCACCTATTCATTCCTTACTTTACAAAGCTTAAGACGTGAGGCCAGGATATCTGAGCTCCTTTCTTAGCTCGTTACACATTAAATTTGACACAATCTACACTAATTAAAAAAAAAAAAAAATAGTCGTTGGGTACTCCTGTTAAAACACTTTAAAAGAACGCATAAAAGTTAACTGTCGGTGTAAGTTTAACCCATAACTAATTTTAAAATCATGATGATTTTGAAATTAACGCTTGTATTGACGTCTATTCCATAATGTTGCCTCAAGTCACTGATATAAAATGTCGACAGGGCACTTTTGTCATTGGCCTAAATATTACTATAATCTTTTGGGCGGCCCAACCATCCAAGGCAAGAGGAGAAATAGCTGAAGATCTTTCCCGTGTTTTCTTGGAGTCGATCCGGATTGCACGAACGGTCTTCCTTGATTCCTGCTGATTCCTGAACAGGATATGTTTCGCCTTCTGTCTTTACTGAAGAGGCACATCTGGCATATGACAACGAAGCCGAAGAGCCGTTCTGAAGCGAAAAAGAAAGAAAATAGAGAGATTAAGAGCCACGTTTACGCCAAATAGCAAACGTGAATTTGTACCACGTGACCAGGATTTCTCCTTTATTGTTGTTTACTGTTTATTACTTCTACTAAAAAATAAGCAGTTTCATGCCAGTTTTACCCATAAGAATTGTTCTGAACAGTTTTTATCTGCTTATTTTCTATTCTGAGAAATTCTCATCTTGAATCTGAAGTTTGCCGTTTGTCGTAAACGTGACTCTTAATCTTTCTAATAATCACCTAACCTCGCTTTAGCGACAAAGAACTTATTTAAGGCCCTGATCGCAATACGCAAGCCATTTCAGACCCTCTTTTTTAGTGCGAATTATTGTTTTCGCCTGCCAATTTTCTCAAGTGTCAACAAACTTCAGAAATGCCGTCGAGAAAGTTTGGAGTCCCACAAATTTTTTGACAGTCGACAAAATCCTTTGTTCCTTGACAGCTATCCCTCGTCGAATCATCTTATTTCGGGCTAACATGACCAATTAAAGTTCCTTTATTTAATGACGTTTTTGGTTACATGAAAACGTTCGTGCGTCAGGTGAAAAAAAAGACAAATTGGTAAAAACTAGCATTTTCAAATTTCATTTTTGAAAACGACCAACTCTATTTTTGTCGTTTTGCGAACAGGGCCTAAGTAATAGAAAACGTTTTCCGTGTTTGCATAGCCTCATATAAACACGAGAGGGGATGGGAGAATTTGACACGGTTATGCAAACCCGAGACGAAGTCGAGGATTGCATAACGATCAAGTCATTCTCTCAACCCCTCAAGGGGGGTTGAGGACAATGTTCTTGTTTTGCGAAAAAGATGCCTACCAAAATATGGATTTTTCTTGCTTAAATTGTCAGCTTGAGCAAAAAAAATTAACGCAGCACGTTTCTTAAGATTTTTTGAGTGTCGGCCAACGAGGAATTGGTTAAATAAAGTAAACTTGTCGAGTTTTCAACTCAAAACCTTTTTCAAATTCCATTCTCGTCTCCAGAGCCCTTTGTTTCTTTTGGTCTCCGGTTGTCACTGTTCGGTTGCAAAGTAAGCCGAGTGGCTCTGGGGATGAGAATGTTCAAATTCGTTCTTGCGTGATTAGTGCGCGAAAGCAAATTAAAACATCTTGACGTCACGACCATGCTTACATACTCTCATGCAAACACGACAAACACGACCCTCGACCCATCAGAAATCAGAGGGAGCGTACTATCTTTATTACTTTATAAAGGATGACTATTAAATTGTCGAGAGTGATTTTAATAAATAAATAACTAAAAAATAGATAAACTGACACGAACTAGTCTAACTAGCAGATATTTAACTAATTTGTGAAGCCCCTTTTCTTTAAATTACAGAAATTTGGACCCTTCCTTTGTTTATAAATCTAAGGATTAACCAGTGCGTATATCAGATTCTGGCAAATATACTCTTAGCCATCAGAATTGACCGTCGCCAAAACAAAACCAAAGTGGTTTGAATTGGCCAGTCACAACGAACGCAGACAAATTACTAGGCATAGAGAAAGGTGAACAACATGAGGGAGTTGCTTTAAACCACTGAGGAAGAGGGAGAAACCTCGAAACGTCTGGTATTTCGTACCATTTTCAACGCACATTTGGATAAACTTTGTACAAATCAACAAGAGGGAGTTGATGAGTTCATTTGGGCCCCTGAGTTGATTTTTCTTTTTTGATCGTTACAGTCTGAGGGCGTTTGCTTTTTCTTGATTTTTATAGCGGTTCCGTTCGAAATTCTGTACTTTTTTGATAGAACATTTTATCTCGCTTTTTATCATGATCACTTTTTCTTGCTTACTTTACCTAAATGACTCATTCTTATAATGCAAAATGTACTAAAATTTCATACTATCCAGATGACTAGTTAAAGTAGCCGTATCGATTCACTTTCGTTTACCCATAGCCTGAATACATGTAAATGCAGGCGTACTTTGAGGGGCTAGCCAAAGCTGCTTGTCTTAAGTTTGACTGAATTTCCGTAACCACCTCACTTGATTAGATAACAGAGATATTCGATTGGCGTTTGGGTTGCTTGCCTCTGGGCGCGCAGCAACTCTCGTTTCGCGTTAACCGACTCTCTCCTCAGCCGTACGGAGCTATTCTGACATCAATGCAATGTTTGGTGCACACGGTGAATAGGAATTCATCGACTTGACTGATACATTGCGTTTTTCTTTAAATTGTGATAATTGACTACTACTAATTGACTTTTACTTTCTCGATATGTCACTCATCACCATTATCATAAAGACCCTAAGTCGTAATATCATTTAAAATACAATAGGTTTTATCGGAACCTAAACTACAAACCGCTTCATCCAACAACCCTCGACCTCAACTTTGCACCGTTTCTCCTCCCCCTTCCCCACTATCGACGTCTTGATTGATCAATAAAATATCGAGTACTATAGCTACTCGAAGAAACATGAAAATACGTTCCCTATATCAATTTCTTGTTCCTTGCCTAAAACTAGTCCATTTCTAAGAACAATGATAGCTAGACATATAGTGATATGATTGAAATATCGAACAGTCGGCCCCTCCAAAATCATAAAAAAAAAAATACGTTTCTTACACTAAATCGCGAAAAATCACGTTCCATCCGCCTTAACCTAGTCCAGATCTAAGTGTAATGATGGGTTGATCCATATTCACAGTGATTTATTGGCAGAAAAAGGTAATATGTTTCGCCTTGTGCCTGAAAACAGGCACAAGGCGAAACATATGACCGCATCGCCAGTCGTCAAAGCACTCCAGTGTACTACCACAAATACAGTTAGTTAGTTAGTTAGAAACCACCTTCAACGTGAGAATAACATATAGCTTGCAATTACGAGTTTTAAGAGTAAAACTAAATTACTCATAACCACTATTCAAAAAAAAGAAGAGAAGTGTGACGTAACGAAAATTCAAATTTGTGAAATTTTGGGATAGAAAAGAATGAAAGAAATAAAGAACATGATGAAATATGTTCACTTGTCAAAAATGAGCTAGCCAGTTCCAGGTTAGCTCAGGGATGGATGACGTCTAAGTGAAAGGGACTAGAAAACATGAGCGCGTGATCTGCAAAAAGGAGGCGGGAGTGGAAAAAAAGATCATTAAACGTTTCTGGGAAACTGATCACCTACCCCTCCCTTAAGCTAAAATTAACACTTATTTTTTACTTAGGGCGAATTGTTGGCGTAGGGGAGGGGTAGGTAGGCAGTTTCCCAGAAACGTATAATGATCAAAGGAAGCCGCCCTTCCTTTTCCCAGTTTCCTACTGTTTTGTTTTCGTGTTCATGCTTTCTCAATTCCGCTGACACGATTATCTTGGACCCTAGAACAGGATAAAAATGAGTCTGTTATTGCAAATTGGCGGGGAGATATAAGTACTATTATGCTCTGATGACTCCTTATAAATCCTTATAAGATAGGTCTGGATCATATTGGAGCATAAAAGTACTTAATCTGCCAGCAAGCTCTCCATTTACGTGAAAAGTACACGTGAAGAGTACACGTGCGAGAAGCAAACGAAAGGAGACGCTTGCTCGCACCAATTTGAAGATGAACAGGCTCACTTTTGGCAAGTGAACATATTTCATAGTGTTCTCCCTGGATGAGCCAAGCCATCCCTTGATTTCACAAATTTAGTTTTGGTGACGTCATCACTTCTATTCTATATTACTCGCATGTACAGTCGCCTGCACCACTTAAGCATATCATACCATGACCTTATAATTTTAAGTGATAAATTATAAGCTATCCAATATCTATAGAACATAATGAAAGCTTAATTATATTACAAAATTTAATTTGAACACAGCAATATTCATTTCATATATTTCTGTTGTTGGTACAACAAAACAGCCAAAGTGGGTAGACTGGCAGAATAGCAAATACTTCTTCTGGTTGTCGCGGTATGGAGAGTGGAGGAGGCCGTCGTCCACCAGAGTCTTGGGGGCTGAAGCTATTGCTCATCGTTTCTAGGAATGACATTAAAGAGGGTCTCCGATAAGGTTTTCTGTTCAGTGTCTGGGAGTTACCTTAATTGGTCGGAATTGGAGATTTGGATGGAGAAAGGAAACAGGGCTACGGAATTCGGAAAGAGAACGAATTTCCAGAAGGGAAAGTTGGCTTTATTCAATTAATAAAATAAATCATTTTCATTCAGTTAACATGACGCAAGTTGCATACTTTCTTCTCGAACTGCATGGTCGGGATTTAGGCTTGATTACCAGTCGCTGTTCGAAAAATAACCCCGCACTCCTCATCACGAGAACAGACTCTCTTCTAGGGGAGGGCAGAAAGAGCGGCAGAAATCAAGCTTAATCGAGACCCAGTTGGAGACCCTCAACAAGAAACTGGACTGTAAGACTGTAAGTTAAAATAACTTAAAAAAACAGTCATTGCAGTTAATATCCTTCCGTACGCGTTATAGACACAATCGAGGATTGGGCATTACTATAGACATACATGTATCACACAAAGATTTTGGAACAGTACATTTAATTGCCAGTTGGTCCTTTACATGGCTGGATGAGGAGAAAAGCTCGGGCTGTGAAAACTGATATAACCGATAAACCAAGCTGCCTTTGTAGAAAGAGCTGAGCCATTTTTTTTCAAGTTCTCTATTTTCAGAAACTAAATTTATTTCAGCTATATTTTATTTTCTTTTAGTTCTTTCATGGTACGTCGACATGTACTTCTATTTTAGCGCCAAAAGCAGGTAACTCTTTATTTTGAGTAAACGTCGGACTTAAACTTTATGAAGAGATTCTATCAAAATCCGAAATTAAACCAAACATTTCCACAGATATGTTTCAACCCATGCGATGACGACCGATGACTACAACTTACCTTCCGACCATTTCTCCCGATGTTCAATGATCGAAATTGCCTCCTCGTTCCCAATTTCTCTGAGACCGCTCATCAGGTCTTCCAATGGTATTTTTCGATTTGCGAGGTCGAGTATTAAAGCCTCCGCCGGGTGCACGTGGCTACTTTTCAGTCTTATTTTCTCCGTACCTTGGGTTGAATAAATCGTGGAGCCAAAGGTTTGACTCCACATAAGATCCTCCCAGGAGTTCAAGGTTGGTTTGTCCAAGGAGCGGGAGAGGTAGTTAAGCGTCTTAACAGACAGGTCCCCAACTTCCATTTTTCTCATTTCCTGTATGTTTAAACTAAGAAGATGATCAAACAGTGGAGCAAAAACTTACATAGAGCATCTTGTTTACTCCCCAAAATCTTGCATAACCATTGTTTCCAATTTCTCCTCTGTATTACAGTCGTCCCAAGAGAAATTGGAGACAATGGGTATGGAAAATTTTGGGGGGTTAACAAGGAGAATTATGGCCTGGCATATGTGAAAATGGTGAATTGGGCTATTGCATTTAGTATCCGTATCCCCCTAGAAAACAATTTTTAAGAGGCAGTCTCCCTAAAAGCGGTCCACTCGATTTCGCGACAAAAAATACTTTTCCTTTATGTTTTGTCGGTGAAGAGGCTTTAGTAGGTGTATACTAAAATCGCTATTTTTGTTTTCAAATTCTTATTCTTAGCTCTGCTACAAGCCAAAAACGAATTGAGTCCGTCTCGGCTTCTCAGAGAGTGTTTCGAAGACTAAAATTGATGGATTTTGAAAAGCGCGTTGCAAACAAACGAATGACCGCACAAAAAAACTGTTCAATTCAGTTTTTTTTAGTTAACCTTCGATAGTTCACAGGCTAAATAAAAATATCTTTGATCAAAACATGTTCAAGTTACCGTGGTTCAAAGAATACCTATTTTGCAGGCTTAATCGAAACCCTGAAAGTAAGGAAGATTTGATGGAAAATATCTCAAAAGTTGCGGCCTAAATCTGGTTTAAAAGTCATATCAAAGTAAAGTTTTAAGCTTATTTTTTTGGTTTATAGGCTCAGACTTGCGGGTATCCTCTGGGATTGCAACCAACAGTAGATTATAATCTGCCATTTTGCGTATTTGCATAATTACAGGCCGTGTCAGATGTCATGATTGTACAGGTTAAAAGTTCCATGAAATTGCCTCTTTTGACACTTGAATTCGTCTTCGGCCTCTAAAAGAAAGTAATTAAGCTTCTTTTAAAGTAATTTTGAATCGAAAGAGATATACTAGCAGGGGTGGTCATGCATGTTTAAATACTGATTACCACGATCAACTGGCGGGCGCCGTCGACTTGTAACTACCTGCACTGAACAGTAAACAATGTTTTTAATAGAATTCTCTAGATCAGAAGTTGATCCAAGCTCTCTAAGTAATGAAAATGAATATCACTACCCAGGGATACAAAACATGCACGAGAAAGGCAACGTAGAATTTTAAGTTCTTTCCGCGACTTCAGAGTGAATTTCACCGCGGTGCATAAAGGTCCATAAATTATTGCAATAATCAGGCTGTTTAAAAACGTTTGACGCACAACAAAAACAATTAGTCATTTACCGTTTTATCTGTTCTCGGTAAATAAGACGCTTACCTTTACTTTAGATTCATGATGGAAGAAGTCTATCCAGGCAGTTTTGTTTCAAAATCAAATCATAGCGTGATAGTGTCACGTAATGTTATGGTCACGTGGCTACGTAACCCGTCGGCGTCCAAAATCTTTGTGATAGGCGAAATTTCTGTTTCTTTCCAGAAAAAAAAAACCCTAATTGAACCCTAATTGAATGAGTTTTTCCTCCTTGTATTGGTAATGAATCATTTTCTACGGCATGGTACCACTGGCCTTATTAATCCTCCCCTAGGCTTTTTTTTTATCGCGCCGCCCGATGAGGAGGGGCACGCAACCTCTCCCTTGGAATCACTTTTCGACTCCCCTCAACTCTCGGTCAATCGAAAGTTCAAATCGATCGCACAGCAAAATACGCCTTGCAGGCTATATTAATCCCTTCCTTTAAAACGTGTTCAAAAATCACGCTAGCATGCCAACGAGGTGTAAGGTTGGCTTTAGGTGCATTTTTTGAACCCTCTTTTATTCGTTCATTTCAAACCAGTTTCTTGTAATGACTAGTTTGGCCTCTTATATGGTACATTTCTAACATTCACGTACCGTATAAAGTATTAGAGAGGTGGCGTAACAACCCTTTTGCCCCAACCTGCCAGGTCGCTAATTGTAATTGTTGCACATGAGAATTCATTTCTCAGGCTTGGCAAAGCATAATTTTTAGAGCAAAATTTGATTCCTGTTTTTCAAGTTTGTTGCTTAAAGAGCTGAAATCGCATGTGCAACAATTGAGATAAGGAACCTGGTGGGGTGGCCTGTGCTACCTGGTCTCTAATCCCTTATGCTGTCCCCTTGGAATGTCCCATATAGGAGGCCAAAATAGTACGACAAAAACGTTTCCAAAGAACGGATGTAATAGTCTTTAAAAATCCACCTACTGCATGGGAGTCTTGTAGTTTCCATGCATGTAGAGTATTTTAATGTGACGTCTTGTTGACATCCGGGTTACGTGATTTTGGATTTCTAAAGGAGAGAGGTCTGGCCGGGGGTTTTGGGTTTTCAGGTATCTGGGCTCAATTTCGTTCAGGTTTACGGAATTTTAGTGCCTCGATAAGGATATAAATTATCATTTTTTCTAAATTTTTGATATTAA